AGTAAATGCCTCCACTACCAACCTTTCCATCAATTCTTCTGGAGTATTAGGATAGGCCAGTCGAGACAGTCCCGCAATATCAGCCTCGAATTCTTGTAGAGATTCCGTTGGTTTCTGCTGGCGGGTTTTCAGTTGGATGTGATACATCGCTGTTAAATGAGACTCGCCGTAGCGCAACTCTAACCGTTTTCCAACTGTTCATAATCCGCCAATTCTTTCGGGGAAAGGGTGTTCAAAATGTCACATCTCCACAAAGCGTAACGGCCAACGCAGTGGCTTTCTCTTCAGGAGCCTCGAATTGCTTGTGGTATGTGATCCATGAGGACTTTCCGTCAAACGTTGGTGGTTTTACTCATGTTCTTGACTCTATACCGCTTCTTTGGCTGATTTTAAATACTCTTTTGTTTACTTTCGGGAGCCTTCTCGAAACATCCAGGTAGTTTCTTTTTTTCTGAAACTTTTTAATTGTTTTCCCAGAACGCAGGTACGACACACGCATTTACAAATACGGTGCGCATGAAGAAAGGCGCCCGCGGCTAGTCGGCGAATCGATAGGCTGTTCACGTGTGCCCGATCGCTACTATATATAAGTAACTTAACCTCAATTATGAAATATATACTTGATAATCTGTGTTTATATTATTGTAAAAACTCAAATGCATTAATAATGTATTTGATAATTATAGGGAAAATACTTATGTGAAGTAAGCAAATTTAACTAAATAGTTAAAGTGCGAGTTGTGCATTTTCCTTAATCTGAACAAATCACGAATCAGTAATCATCTTTTCAGTAGATAGATAGATTCCATTCGTGCGTATGTGTGTGCTCTTCGTTTTTTCCCCTCTCCTTTTCTTTCCTTTTCGTTATTCATATTGTATTCCATATTCTTGCATGGGCTCCTGGGCCCGTAATCTGCTGTTCCAATTTTCTTTCTCTTTTGCCGTGTACTCACATTTTTCTAGGACATGATGTAGCGTTTCCTCCTCATTCTCACACATTCTGCATAGTCTTCTTTTCTGAAAGCAAGTATTTATTAGCTTTCGTTTCTGATCCTGACTTGAATCTTGCATACATCTCCAGTTTATTTATTTGGGTTGATTTCTTTGTATTCCTTGACGTACTTCAGAGGATTTAGTTTTTCCTCTGGCTTTTGTCTGTATTTTTTTAATAAGTAAGTTGGTTATAGTAGTCCGGTGTCTGTTTCTTTTCTAGAAAGTAATTCCTTCTCTCTTTCTTTCACTTTTCTGCTATTGGCCTTTTTCCCTTTTTACATTTTCCTTTTCCAATATTTAATTGTATCTTGTCTTTTACTTTTAAATATTTCTTAAGTAGATTACTTCCTTTCTTATTCTTCTTTTCTAATTTTCCATTCATATTTTATCACCCTTTTTCTTGTATTATTTGCCATCTTTTTTTTGTCTGTTTCTAATTTTAATAGGTAGCTTGGTGTTGTTTCATCAAGCCTGAGGATCCCTTTTATGTATTTGTTTTGTACTTCTTCGATTAATTTGTGCTCTAACCATCCCCATATTTCCGCTTCATACATCATTATACTTTTTACCAGTACTTCAAATAAATACATTTTCTTTTCCCAACTTTCTTTGAACTTCCTTTCAGATATACTTCGTACTTTCCCTAATTCTTCGTTTCCGTTGTTGTTCTGTATCACGTAGCTTCTCCAATTCTGTTTGGTATCACATAATCAATCACCGACTTTCCAGCTGTTGCAGCATATGTCATGCATGCGTTCTCATTTCCTGTAAAATATCCATTTATTATGTACAGACCTTGCTCTTCCATCCAGTTTATAAGTTTTTCCTATCTTCATTTCCAGTTCCATGACTGTTTCATAATCAACTTTGCCTCCTTTTCTAGCTGTTTCGACGTTAAAGTCTCCTATTATTGTCGGGTCTTTTTTGTTTTCCTCTATGATTATTGTCATCCTTCTTTATTCTCCCTCATATATATATTCATAATTATTATTTCTTCACTTCCTGTCTTAAGTCTATCCTTATCAACTCAGTTTATTTTCTTGGTGGTGATTTCTTTGTCTAGCAAGTTTTTTCTGAATGCTGTGCCCATATATATACCCTTTCATTTTTCTTTTCTCTTTTGGCATTTATTTTTATTTCATATTTTTTAGCTGTCTCGGTCACATTTAGTATGTCGGTTTTGTTTAATTCCTCCCAATTCTCTTCTTCTAAACGATTTATGCTGCTTACGTTCCAAAATACCACTTGTATGTTTTTCTTATACTTACTTCTGATCGTAGTTACTCCTAATCAGTGATTCTATTCTTCTGCTTTCCCTTTCGAAACCATTTTTCCTTCCTTTCATTCCACTATAGCTCTTCTTTTTCTGTTATTATTTTGTTGTATGTAGTTTTGCACTTTGTTCCTTTTTCTCTGTTTTTTTTCTTCTTTGATGATTTCTTGTCTGCTCTGTCTTTCCAGCCATGTTATGTCATTTTTGATAAATATTTTGCTCTTTTCTTATCTCAGTTTATTTTTGTTTTTCTTAACATTGTTTTTTTACTTTATGCTTTTCAGATTAGCTCCTAAGATATTTTCTATATTTCTCAAGAACCAGAATTTCCTTACTATTACTTTTACTACTAGCTATTCCTTCATCCATTTCTAGGTCTATGAACTTGTCCTTCAAGTCATCGTCTCTCTTTTCTATTTTTTCATGAAGGTTTTTCCATCTTTCTTTCTCTTCTTCGTCTCTTTTCTGTTGTTTTTCTTCATATTCCTTCTATTTTTTCTCTAACATCTGCATCAGTACACTCCGTTTTTTACTTTCACTTTCTGGGCTCTCCAGCCTTTCTTCTTTTTTTTGGCTTCTTATCTGCTTCTCTCTAACCAGCTTTCTAGATTTCCTGCGGTGCTGCCTCTGCTCGAGTTTGATGATGATTGGCTTCCAGTTTTAAACCCGAGTGGTCTGCCTCTTTTTTTCAATTCTTATTTTTGGTTTTGATAGTTGTCTCATTCAGCTGTGAGTCATCGCAAGTTGACATTTTTTTAATACACCAATATAATCTATTTCTTCTAATCTAATTCAACTGTTTGTAAAAAACTATGAAGTAGTTAACATTCATAATTTGTTGTTGGCCTTAAAACTCATTAGATTCAACTTTTTTTGTCTTCCAAGGACAAATGTATAAACAAGACCTATGGGTGGCCCTGTATCTCCAATTTTAGCTAACGTAGTCATGGAAAATCTAAAAACAAACTGCTTAGATCAACTCAGTTTTACACCTTTATACCGTTTTAATAATCCCTGGTAATAAATTAATGCAAGTGATATTTGATGTTTTTAATAAACACCATCCCAGATTATAATTCACACATAAAATAGAAGAAGAAACAGCTTTTTAGGCATTATGGCAGAAAATTCTAATGATACTCTTATATCACAAACTAGTATCACATGAAAACATTTTCAGTACGTTACGGATTGGCTAAATTCCAACAAAACCCAATTAGACCATTATACCGTAACAATTCATTTTAAATATGTTATCTGGCTATGAGATCATAGAAATGACAGTCAAGCACCTTTATGTATACTCAGGGAATTTTAGGGTTTTCAACAAATGTGTGACCAAGGAATTGAAAATACCATAAGTTGGGAGTTTGTACAAACGAATTGCGAAGGCTACGCTCCTGCGTGTTCGTCTTGACCAGGGAGAAAAGAAGTTGTGCGAGACGGGACTATAATTTTTATTATAGCTACACCTGCCGTAAACCCATGAACTACCTTTGGTAGTGAATACTAAAGTACCTGTTGTCCTAGCGACTAAACTATCACGCTAGAAGAATTTCTTTCTTTCTTCTATAACCTGACTACAGTTAGCTCGATCTCACTCGCTTAAGGAGACTAACCAGATGACCGCTGACAGCTAGTCAAAGCTACGAAATTGACGCAAAAATACACAATTTTAGATGAGTATTTTATAATAATTATAAAATATTATTCTGAATTCACTTTGACCTATACCAATATTTAAGAATCAAATTGCCAATAAAAATATAGACAAAGAAAGACTGTTCATCAGTTAATGGGAAACCGAAAATAATTACAACGAATACATACCTATATAAATGGATTAGAAAAAAAAAAACCTATTGACATATTATTATAAATTTTGCAACACCCGAGTATAGGTGGTTATATTACATTTCGATAGTTCTTTATGTACACTGTGGTTGCTTACAAGTTCACTTAGCAACACTTTCTCCACGACCGATCACAACGTTAAAGTTCACAAATAACTTTGCCGAATCGCGATGTAAATGTTCTGGACTACAAGCTCATGCTAAAAATCCAAGGAGTGTAATTACACACTATAAATTATAGATAGAATTGTAGTACCGTACGAGACAACAACTTTAATCAATATTTGCTTGTACTAAATAGGATGTGGTAACGGTTGTGACTAAACAGCCGCCGATGGAATTATTAGGTTACGGTATGCAGTAACCCTTATTTAAACGAGGGACGCTATGCACCTTGAGTTTACGTTAGGTTATGATGAGAGAGGATTCCCTGATTAGCTAGTGTGAAGTGCTGTACCCTACTAACCTACGTTAAGTTATAGTAAGAACTGATTAAACCGTCCAACGTTTATGAGTATTTTAAAATTAAAATGTTTGAAGTGGGTATTAGTACAAAAAGACTTCTTGTTTAGTTCTTTCCATTGATGAACTATATTATGGTTTTTTTATGTTTTCGTGGTGCTATCTGTATAAATGAAGAACTGCAAAGTTTGAAAGTTTATAAAATATTTTCGTAAAAAAACTATATATATAAAAAATATTAACGTTAGTAGTGTATCATCCGTATTAAAGTTACCTTTAAAACGGAATAATTGAAAACATTGGGTTATTTCATTTAAAATTAGAGGCATGATGCATAATGCTGTTTACTTATTATTTCTTTCTAATGCACCAGTGGAAAGTTATAAACGTTAATTTTGTGCAAATTGTTATTCTTCTAGATAAAACTACCGCCTGGTTTAGATATAGAACAAAGAGTTCAACTCCTTGATTGTTCTGTTTCTACCATTTTGAAGGCGTCTGGTGTATACTGCAAAATAAGTGAAGATAAAACAAACTATGGGGATTTAAAACTGGCTTGTTTCGTTTATAATAGTTTCACACCTTTAAATCTCTTAGTTCAAGAAATATTTTTACAAAATCCTGACCATTCAACTTTAGATGAATTGGTGATGCTTATCAAACCTTGGTTGAGTCGGAAAAAACCAGAGCAGCGCTTGCCTGCCTTGGAAATTTTGCAGAGTGCTCTGTTTACATACTTAGAAAATTGTCAGTTTGTTTATGTCTCAGGCTGCTTAAGTCATTGCGGGGAACTTGTAGCAGGTTTAATTCCACGTTGTCTCGATGTAAATAAAAATATCAGATCGGTTAGTAAATGTTCACTTCTTTGCCAGTTTTAGTTTTGTCAGCAGATAACCATTTTTCTTTACAGGTTGCACTCCAATCAGTAAAATTATCTCTTTGTATAGCTGCTCGCCATGATGGACATGCTAAAGAACATGAAAAAATTGTTAGTCAGAAACTCAAAAACTCATTGGACAATATACGCACAGATGAGTCTTCATTATTATGTAATTTAATGATAGACATTGCATCTGCTGCTCTAAATTATGTACCAAGAGCTCAGATTCCTCAACTTATATTGGGACTTATCGATTGCCTTGTCGATACTGAATTGCAGAGTAAGTTTTTTTTAGTTATTACTTTAGTTCATTTATTCAATTTAAGGGTTAATCCATCATTTCAAATACATCTTAAGCATCACATTTTACACTATTACTACTCTCTTAAAAATTTCTTACCCTAATAATTACTGTGGATGTATAAATATACTACTTATGATACAAACAAAAAGTAAGATATCAAAATTGATAGTTTTTACAGCATATCTATAAAATAATCCGATAATTTCAAAATTCAAACATTTCAAGCAAGCCTTTCGTTATAGTCTGGGAGGTAGTGTTCTTTGACATAGGTAGTTTCTTATTTCTTTGTCTAGCATCCAACGCGATACAGGTGGGTGGTGACGTAGTAGGCTGTGACAGCAGTGATAGTTTTTTTTTTGTTTCAAGAAATGATTGATGTCACGGTAGAACATCATTATTAAATATTGATAATGAAAGAAAGTGAACTACGTCATCTATGTTAGAACTGTGAATTCTGCGTCAGCCGGATCTCTTAAAGTGTAGCATAGCGTAGCGCTTCTCTTGGCGCTTTGGAAATCTGAGGTCAAGCTGACGCTGAATCCATCCCAATAATGCTGTCTGACGCTCATTTTCAATCTCAAAGGACTGTAATTAATAATTCTGATAAATTTTAGAATGAGAAGTATTAATTTAGTTATGTTTATTATATAAGCATCAAATCGATCAACTGAAAAACCATGTATAAACAAGAAACTGCGATTATAACAGGATTTTATAAACATACATTACAGAGATGTTTACAGCTCTTTTTGATGTTCAAATATATGAAATAATAGCAGAATTTAGTGAATAGTGTCGATACCTATTGATGAAATAACATTATTCTGCATCATCACTTTCTACATCGGTATCAGATTAAATCGTGAAATAATAGTACCTTGGCCAAGTGCACCTAAAATACCAGTTACCACGGAACATGTACAATGCCTATATACAAATGAGGCGGGAAACTCAAATGTCTTATTTCAAGATTTTATCAGGGCCAGTCGTCAGTCGTCCATGTGATTTCAATAAATGCTACTTTAAGCAACACCATAACAGTTACCTACAGTTAATAAACATCCGTATGCTTTCACGGCCGGTGTGATGTCGTTAATTAAAATGAACTTCCGGGGTTGTCGGCCGTGGTCAGTAATTACAAAGCCTATAGACCACGGCACACAAACCCGAAAGTCATTACTTTCGATTTACGACAGTTATACTTCATAGTGTCAGTGGCGGATCATTTCCTTATAAAACGTACCTACAATTCCATATGATCTTTTGCACAAGAACCCCTCTCTCGCCTCTGTATTCGATACCCTCCCTCCGTTCTATTTCATTTCATTCATTCTTTACAATTTAATTCTATCTTTACTACGCTAATCATCAATCATCATCATAAGGTCGTCAGTCCTAAGACTGGTTAGGCACGTACCTCCACCTTTTCCTATCCTTAGCTGAACTTCGCATTTCCCTGAAACTAGAAAAACCCACATCCTTGACTATTTGCGAACAGTAATCTAACCTAGGTCTACCTCTACCCCTCCTAACTCCTGTTTCTGCCTCTAATATGTCTCTGACTAAACCTTCATGCCTAAGAAGGTGTCCTACCAACCTATCTCGCCTATTTTTTATTGACTTCCA